ATAATGACTCTCTAGCCGTTCACTATTATCCAGCCTATCGTTACCTTTTTAGGATAAAAATCGTTGTAGAAATTTTTCCTGAAATATTTGAGATATTTTTCTTTGACAGTCGGCTCGTCGTCTGCGGGATCTGCAATAACACAGGCGTCAATCATGCTGCAGTAGCTCTTGTCGTCTGACCAGCTGTTGAGTGGGATGCCCCAAAACCCTTTGTAGCTTTTCGTTGGACATGGGCCGTTAGGGCATCTAAAGAATAAATGTGATGTAAATGTTAATGTTAGACGTGAGCCGTTAAGGCATCTAAAGTGTAAATGTGATGTAAATGTTAATGTTAGACGTGAGCCGTTAGGGCATCTAAAGTGTAAATGTGATGTAAATGTTAATGTTAGACGTGAGCCGTTAGGGCACCTAAAGTGTAAATGTGATGTAAATGTTAATGTTAGACATGGGCCGTTAGGGCACCTAAAGTGTTAATGTGATGTAAATGCTACTGTTGGGCATTTGTCCGTTAGCGTAACTACAAGAAATATTACGGCTGTACACTTACTTCTCCGGGGGTATGGGAAAATCGTATGTGTACGGCCAGACGTGAGATCGACCCTTGTAGTTCTCCATGTTAGAAACACTAGCGTCGTACTTAAATTTTGTAGCATTCAGTACCTGAACATTTAAATTTTGTAGCATTCAGTACCTGAACATTTAAATTTTGTAGCATTCAACACCTGAACATTTAAATGTTGTAGCATTCAGCACCTGAACATTTAAATTTTGTAGCATTCAGTATCTGAACATTTACATTTTGTAGCATTCAGTACCTGAACATTTAAATTTTGTAGCATTCAGCACCTGAACATTTAAATTTTGTAGCATTCAGCACCTGAACATTTAAATTTTGTAGCATTCAGTACCTGAACATTTAAATTTTGTAGCATTCAGCACCTGAACATTTAAATTTTTTAGCATTCAGTACCTGAACATTTAAATTTTGTAGCATTCAGCACCTGAACATTTAAATTTTGTAGCATTCAGTACCTGAACATTTAAATTTTGTAGCATTCAGCACCTGAACGATTAAATTTTGTAGCATTCAGCACCTGAATATTTAAATTTTGTAGCATTCAGCACCTGAACATTTAAATTTTGTAACAACTGGAAAACATCAAGTTACTTAAAGTAAGGTGCAAACTTACCTCAAACATCAAGTTACTTAATTTAAGGTAAGGGGCTCGGAAGCCAACAACCTTGAGGGGGTCGACCTGAGAGTTTTGTTGCAGCAAGTTTCTTACTCCCACAATCTGTCCGGGGGGAAAAAGGGGGTTGTTACTGTGGTGTTGGTAGGGATGTGGTTGTTACTGTGGTGTTGGTAGGGATGTGGTTTTTACTGTGGTGTTGGTAGGGATGTGGTTGTTACTGTGGTGTTGGTAGGGATGTGGTTTTTACTGTGGTGTTGGTAGGGATGTGGTTGTTACTGTGGTGTTGGTAGGGATGTGGTTGTTACTGTGGTATTGGTAGGGATGTGGTTGTTGCTGTGGTGTTGGTAGGGATGTGGTTGTTACTGTGGTGTTGGTAGGGATGTGGTTGTTACTGTGGTGTTGGTAGGGATGTGGTTGTTACTGTGGTGTTGGTAGGGATGTGGTTGTTACTGTGGTGTTGGTAGGGATGTGGTTGTTACTGTGGTAAGAATGTGGTTGTTACTGTGGTGTTGGTAGGGATGTGGCTGTTACTGTGGTGTTGGTAGGGATGTGGTTGTTACTGGGGTGTTGGTAGGGATGTGGTTGTTACTGGGGTGTTGGTAGGGATGTGGTTGTTACTGGGGTGTTGGTAGGGATGTGGTTGTTACTGTGGTGTTGGTAGGGATGTGGTTGTTACTGGGGTGTTGGTAGGGATGTAGTTGTTACTGGGGTGTTGGTAGGGATGTAGTTGTTACTGGGGTGTTGGTAGGGATGTGGTTGTTACTGTGGTAAGGATGTGGTTGTTACTGTGGTGTTGGTAGGGATGTGGCTGTTACTGTGGTGTTGGTAGGGATGTGGTTGTTACTGGGGTGTTGGTAGGGATGTGGTTGTTACTGGGGTGTTGGTAGGGATGTGGTTGTTACTGGGGTGTTGGTAGGGATGTGGTTGTTACTGTGGTGTTGGTAGGGATGTGGTTGTTACTGGGGTGTTGGTAGGGATGTGGTTGTTACTGTGGTGTTGGTAGGGATGTAGTTGTTACTGGGGTGTTGGTAGGGATGTAGTTGTTACTGGGGTGTTGGTAGGGATGTGGTTGTTACTGTGGTAAGGATGTGGTTGTTACTGTGGTGTTGGTAGGGATGTGGCTGTTACTGTGGTGTTGGTAGGGATGTGGTTGTTACTGGGGTGTTGGTAGGGATGTGGTTGTTACTGGGGTGTTGGTAGGGATGTGGTTGTTACTGGGGTGTTGGTAGGGATGTGGTTGTTACTGGGGTGTTGGTAGGGATGTAGTTGTTACTGGGGTGTTGGTAGGGATGTGGTTGTTACTGGGGTGTTGGTAGGGATGTAGTTGTTACTGGGGTGTTGGTAGGGATGTGGTTGTTACTGGGGTGTTGGTAGGGATGTGGTTGTTACTGTGGTAAGGATGTGGTTGTTACTGGGGTGTTGGTAGGGATGTGGTTGTTACTGTGGTGTTGGTAGGGATGTGGTTGTTACTGGGGTGTTGGTAGGGATGTGGTTGTTACTGTGGTGTTGGTAGGGATGTGGTTGTTACTGTGGTGTTGGTAGGGATGTGGTTTTTTGAGAAACAATTATTGTTATAAGTGTAGCTGTGACTGATGGTGTAACAATAGTTGGTTGTTTGATGGTTGTAAATGATGTTGTTACTGATGGTGTTACGTTAGCAATACAAGCCACAAGAAATGAAAGAACCTCTTCCTCGTATGTCTGGAAACTGCCGCCGTCTGCCAAAATGTGATGCATGGTGTGGGAAGCGAACTCGTTGCCTTTATCGTACAGCTGTTTGACCACGCCGAAGTCCGTGTAGTCAGTGGAAAGAAAAAATGTCGCCCTGGTTTCAAATCAACAACAAATTACGTTAGAAATGTTACATTTGTGCTAGCTCCAGCAATGTAGTGGAATCATGTTATGGGGATAACGGCAATAAAATCGTGAGATGAAAAACGACAACTGAAATAATAACGATCTTTGGTAGCCCTCAACACAAATGATCTTTGGTAGCCCTCAACAAAAATGATCTTTGCTGACATACTTAATGGGGCAGCTGTTGGGATTGCTGAGGTTGTACGTGGTGTCGATCAGAAGCTTCTTGTAGTAGTCGTTATTGAAAGCGTTGGTAACAGCGTCGTCAAAAGACAACATCACCATCATCGGAGTTTTCTCTCGCTCCATGTCAGGCGTAGCTCCAAAACAGAAGCAATTGGGTAACTGGCAGGTCTGCTTGTTACATTCTGAAAATCAATGGTTATTGGGGAAATGTATTTATGCTACAGAAAATGTTTCTTTTTATCATCATTAAATATTTGCTGTAATTTTGTTTTGTACTGCCACTAACATGTCAGGTTTGAATGAGACAAAGGGAAGTAACCAAGAACATACCTGTAGATGATGAGGCAGATATTGGCTGTTTTTGCGATTGAGCTACTGATGGTAGCAGTGGCTGTGGGGTTGACGTTGGTGGGGGTTGTGGAGTTGACGTTGGTGGGGGTTGTGGGGTTGACGTTAGTGGCTGCCTGGTTGTTGATGCTGGTGCATTAAGGGTTGGCCACATGGTTGTTGGTTTGGTTGGTTGTGCCGTTGTTGTTGGTTGGGCTGTGCTTGTCCATGGTGCAGGTTGTGGTTGCACTTGTTGGGTTGACTGCTGTAGAACTGGGGTTGCAGTGGTTGCTGACGCGGGCTGTGTGCCTAAGGTAGGGCGTATGGTGGAGGTTTGGGGTTGTAAGAAGCATTTGGGTGGCCCCTCATAGCACTGTATGATGTTTATATCAAACCTGAAGTTAGAAGTAGATTATGTATTCTCTTATAAACTTGAGTCACAAGCATCAACTGCAAGCATTTCCTACTATACAATTATACAACCTAGCCTGAATACTACACAACGTTTCATAAAGCAACGCGCACATAGAAAGGGGTCGTCCATAAATGACGTCACACTCGTAGGGGGGAGGGGGGGGGGGCGTAATTTTGTGACGGTGTGTGATGGGAGGGGTGCGACGTCACACTTTTGCATTATAAAAAAGCAATGTTAGAAACGAATTTTAGACGTTATTTCGCGTTTTAGAAAACTGATTTAATAAAATGTAATATGAATTGATTAAAAATACTCTATTTTGACAGAGTTCAGACAAGATTTTGGGAAAAAATATCGATGTTTTAAAAAAAATTCAACTGCAGTTTTGAGGGGGGGGGGGGGGGGGGTTATAGGCTGAAGTGAGACGTCATTTTAGGGGGTTGGCTTTTTGTGAGGATGTGTGACGGAGAGGAGGGGGGAGGTGACGTCATTTATGGATGACCCCTAACGTGTATATTACAAAAGCTTAAAACTAGAAGATTTCAGCAGCAAACTAATTTTACAATTGTAATAATGTACTTACTTCATATTGTTCAGGCACTGATAAGCAATAAACCTAGAATTTAAGCAATGCAAGAACCGAGATCCATAATCTTGATCGGTTTCATTGAGCCAAGGTCGAATGGGTTCACAGACGCGATCTCCCTCCTTGATGACAACAGGCGGGTTGAGAGGCAGCAGACAGTCGCTGCGGACCAGGTGTAGCCCGGCACATACCAGAACAATGGCCACAACAGCAGACGTGGGCATGGCTGCTTTAGGGACAGAACTTTACACGTGAATTTATGTGTGGGCCTAAATTATTCATGTGTAAATGTCTGTCTGTGTGGGTCTCCGTTTGTCCATGATGTAATAATTACTTTAAATATTTTAAAGAACATGATAGAACAGAAGAGAACAGAACACAAAACAGAGCGCAAAATAACACATCACACAAAACACAACAGTTGGAAACACAAGAATACAATAAACAAAAAGACAACACGGTCCATTTTTTGTATCCAGAAAAGTCAATGTAATCATATTAAATTTGTGATTTTTTTTTAGCGCAATTTCCATTCTGGAGAATTGCGTTTATTAACTCGTCTTTTCTGGGAATGAATGGATGAATGGATGGATGGATGTGTGTCCGCAGCTTTAAGTCGTATCTCCTCCTCAACGAAGCAATATCGAAGACTAGTTCCAAAAGCAATTATGTTAAGCAAGTTACGAGGGTGAACATAGGCCATAAAAATTCCGGGTTTCTTTCATGGATTTCCCGAAAAAGCCAAAAAAACTCGACAAAATGCAGTTTTTGGCCCATATCTCGGCAACAAGACCACTTAGCGACTTAAAACATGTACCAATCGATTTCTGCCATAATTTAGAACAATATTGCCGAAACAAGTTTTCAAAAATATCCTTTCGTTTGGTTACAAAAAAATTTTTGAATTAATTAAAATTTGGACCGAATTAGTAGGCATTTTATGCAACCACACCACACGCGTCATCACGTTCAATAGCTGCGCCATCACGTTCAATGGCTGCGACGTCACGTTCGGTAGCTGGGCGCGCAATGGTTTTTAGTCATGTTACTCTATTGTAAATAAAACATGTAAAATACTGAATTTTTTTTTAAATAAAAAACGTTTTAATAACTAACCAATGGTTTTACTAACCCTGCTCTTGATTTACGCTACGACAGAGCTATTTTTAGATAACACAAGGAAATTGCGCTAAAATTGTCACTAGACTTTTTTTAATTACTTATTTTAATGTGGCAACAAAAAAATATAATTACTTCTGTAAAAATTAAAGCCGTTTGGGAACCATCGATTACATTAATTTTTATACTTTTGTATCGAATATAAGCCGTTGAAAAGCCGTTTAGAATTATTTTATCAATTCAAATATTTTCAAAAATAGCCCTTAACCTATTGAAGTCAACCGGAATGGCCAGGGAGAGTAAAACAATAGAAGTCAGAACAACTGTTTACCATGAAAAAATACACACTAGTAATTTATGTTGTATAGCGTAGTATAGTATTTATATAAATAATATAACATCTCCTATCACCTAAACATCCTGACTCTAGTAATCCAAATTAAAAATTAAAGTGTTTCCAAAAATTTACTATTATATTACTAATAATTATTTCTTTGACTATTTCAATCCTTAATGAAACCGGAAGTAATTTTGTACTTATATGACACAAATGTTATAAAAAATTCAATTTTGGTTGAAAAATGTGCTTTCTGGTAAGGGGTCGTCCATAAATGACGTCACATTTGTAGGGGGGAGGGGGGTCTGTAATTTTGTGACGGTGTGTGATGAGGGGGAGGGGGGTTCAGATTGTTGGACGTCACACTTTTGCATTATAAATAAACCGGGAGTGATCTCCCCTAAACTTTCTCGAATATTCTTATATAAAATAACAGGGGATGGGAACTCGGGCTATAGACATGATTTTTAATCCATTTTAAATACTTTGAGTTTTAAAAATAGAATAAAATCTCGTAGACAAATTAATTGCACACCAAGTGAACGCCCATTAAAAAGCGCATAATAGTGCGCAATATTATTAGTACTTTTAAAATTTACATTAGTTTTTTGAGAAATCGGAAGTAGCGTAAATTACTACTTCCGGTCAACGGAAATTACTCAAAATTTAACAGAAGTTAGAGAATTAGATCTTTTACTTACATGTGAAATTTCATTTATCTATCTGAAATAGTACTCAAGTTATAGGGTTTTAATAAAATTCAGAGTAGGAAAAATACCACTTCCGGTTATCGGAAATCGCTCAAAAGTTGATACGGATCTACGATTTTGATAAAATACTTATATATCAAATTTCATCAACCTAGCTGTAACGGTACTCAAGTTATCCTGTTTACACACGGACAGACAGACAGACACACACACACACACAGAAACACAGACATACGGACAAGATTGCAAAATTATGTTTTTCCGTATCGGTGAGGTGTAAAACGTCGAGATTTGTAAAAATCTCTATTTTTTTTTTGCACGTTTACAATACTTTCTCTATACTTCGTATATACGAGAAAGTAAAAAGCAATGTTAGAAAACGAATTTAGCCGTTATTTCGCGTTTTAGAAAACTGTTTTAATAAATTGTAATAGGAATTGATCAAAATACTCTATGTTGACAGAGTATAGACAAGATTTTGGAAAAATATCGATGTTTTAAGAAAAATTCAACAGCAATTTTGAGGGGTGTTGTAGGCTGAGGTGTGACGTCATTTTAGGGGAGTCTGGCTTTTTGTGACGACGTGTGACGGAGGGGAGGGGGAGGTAAAAATCGTCAAAAAACGCGTTTCGTAATTTATGGATGACCCCTAACAAAAATTTAGAACCATTTGGAACCAGCTTTTTTACTTTCTTGTATAGGAAGTGTAGAGAAAATATTGTAATCGTGCAAAAAACAAATCGAGATTTTTGCAAATATCGCCGTTTTACACCTCCCTGAGTCGGAAAAACATAGTTTTGCAATCTTGTCCGTATGTCTGTGTGTGTATGTGTGTGTGTGTCTGTAAACACGATAACCTGAAATAAGGGAGGGGGGCGTTTTAATAATTTTTAATAAGTTTTTGCCTAGTGTGCTGAATTTCCTGGCGCCGGCACTGTTTCCAGCATGACGGTGATTTTAATTTTTTAAAATACTTTCTCGAATATTCTTATATAAAATAACAGGGGATGGGAACTCGGGCTATAGACATGATTTTTAATCCATTTTAAATACTTTGAGTTTTAAAAATAGAATAAAATCTCGTAGACAAATTAATTGCACACCAAGTGAACGCCCATTAAAAAGCGCATAATAGTGCGCAATATTATTAGTACTTTTAAAATTTACATTAGTTTTTTGAGAAATCGGAAGTAGCGTAAATTACTACTTCCGGTCAACGGAAATTACTCAAAATTTAACAGAAGTTAGAGAATTAGATCTTTTACTTACATGTGAAATTTCATTTATCTATCTGAAATAGTACTCAAGTTATAGGGTTTTGAAAAATTCAGAGTGTTAGCTACTTCAATTGTTATAGCTTTTCTTATTGCAAAAAAAAATTATAATTCTGTAGTATAATGACTGACGTGTTTCGTTTCTCCTCCCTATTTTATAAAAATTGTGAACTAAATTTTCCGATGTATTTAATTTAATATTTCCCCAATTTGCGGAAAACTGTAACACACCCAGTGCGTGTTTATCTTGACCCATATTAACGCTCCTGGAGTTGTGTGACAATGTTATTTTTATGTACCTTTTTTACTTTCTCGTATATACGTAGTATAGAGAAAGAATTGTAATCGTGCAAAAAAAAAATCGAGATTTTTACAAATCTCGACGTTTTACACCTCACTGATACGGAAAAACATAATTTTGCAATCTTGTCCGTATGTCTGTGTGTGTGTGTGTGTCTGTGTGTGTGTCTGTCCGTGTGTAAACACGATAACTTGAGTACCGTTACAGCTAGGTTGATGAAATTTCATATATAAGTATTTTATCAAAATCGTAGATCCGTATCAACTTTTGAGCGATTTCCGATAACCGGAAGTGGTACTTTTCCTACTTTGAATTTTTTAAAAGCCTATAACTTGAGTACTATTTCAGATAGATAAATGAAATTTCACATGTAAGTAAAAGATCTAATTCTCTACCTTCTGTTAAATTTTGAGTAATTTCCGTTGACTGGAAGTAGTAATTTACGCTACTTCCGATTTCTCAAAAAACTAATGTAAATTTTAAAAGTACTAATAATATTGCGCACTATTATGCGCTTTTTTTATTTGCGTTCACTTGGTGTGCAATTAATTTGTCTACGAGATTTTATTCTATTTTTAAAACTTTAAGTATTTAAAATGGATTAAAAATCATGTCTATAGCCCGAGTTTCCATCCCCTGTTATTTTATATAAGAATATTCGAGAAAGTTTAGGGGAGATCACTCCCGGTTTATTTATTTCAGAAATGTCCCCAATTAATAGTTGCATAAGGTTTCTAAAACTGCCCACCTAAAATACTGGTAACAAGATGTCTTAGAACGACCAGCGAGTGATTCAAATGAATCTCCGAAAATGCGCCATTCTCCTAAAATGATCCTATCTGGAGCGACCCCTCCTATTGCTCCCCCTCTCAGCTTACACCTCTGATACTAAGGCAACTCAACTACTTACAATTTTAAAATCAAAAACTGTAAATTAAGAAATTTTTATAATTTCATTGCAATTTTTCCAAAGAAATAACCGATGCATGGAAAGGAAAAAACATTTAAAGAACGACTTCTAAAAGAAGTTAGTTGTATGATAAGAAAGCTAACGTTTAAAGAACGACTTCTAAAAGACGTTAGTTGTATGATAGGAAAGCTAACGTTTAAAGAACGACTTCTAAAAGACGTTAGTTGTATGATAAGAAAGCTAACGTTTAAAGAACGACTTCTAAAAGACGTTAGTTGTATGATAGGAAAGCTAACGTTTAAAGAACGACTTCTAAAAGACGTTAGTTGTATGATAGGAAAGCTAACGTTTAAAGAACGACTTCTAAAAGACGTTAGTTGTATGATAGGAAAGCTAACGTTTAAAGAACTTCTAAAAGACGTTAGTTGTATGATAGGAAAGCTAACTTTGGTATCAGTCATCTTGATATAACTTGATATAACATGACTAAGAAATTTTGTGTTATTTTTAATATATGTTGCAAAATATCGTAAACTGTAAAGCTAAGGGAAAATTTTCATTTTGCTCAGCATTAAATTTTTTAGCAAATTTGAAATGAAAAATTCCTGAAACGTTAAAAATGATAGTTTACATAAAAAGACAAATCACATTCGGAACCATGAGATGACAAGAGGAGGCAAAACCTACCTGGTTATTGGATTCAGTTCGTCACACTGGGGACTGCTGTAGTCGACCCGATAGGTATGGGCAGTCACACGCCCAGATCACCTGATCCTGATTTCTATCGCTCGATCCTATTTTAGAATTTAACGGCAAACTGAGGGCGAAAACTTGAAATAATCTGATAGCTAGTCCTGCGTGGCTGGGGGCGTTTGAAATGTTCGAGTCTCAGCGTTTTCAAGTCCTTTATGATTATCATCTCATTATCATTTGTCACACTCAATTTACAATACCTAAGGAACAAAAAACGTTATAGGGAAAAGTCATATTATACATATATATATATATATATATATATATATATATATATATATATATATATATATATATATATATATATATATATATATATGTGCTATAACAAAGGTAATGATGAAGCATTGTCTTTTAAGTGATGAAATGATGTTCTGGTACGTGTGCCCAGTCTACTGGTTCTTCACGTATTACTTGACACTAGACATGGACGCATCAACCGATAAGTCGAACAGAAACATCTGTGTTTATCTTTGATATCTTTGATCTCAGTTTAGGTTCATCAGGACTGCCCAGCCTTTTTACTGCCTCGGGTCATATATTTTGTATTTAAAAAATCAGGTGGGTTGATGCGTTATTTGTCATTTAAAAAATGTCCAGGTGGGCTGGCGTGTTATTTGTCATTAGAAAATGTACAGGTGGGTTGATGCGTTATTTGTCATTAAAAAAATGTACAGGTGGGTTGATGCGTTATTTGTAATTAAAAAATGTCCAGGTGGGTTGATGCGTTATTTGTCATTAAAAAATGTCCAGGTGGGTTGATGCGTTATTTGTCATTAAAAAAATGTCCAGGTGGGTTGATGCGTTATTTGTAATTAAAAAATGTCCAGGTGGGATGATGCGTTATTTGTAATTAAAAAATGTCCAGGTGGGTTGATGCGTTATTTGTCATTAAAAAATGTCCAGGTGGGTTGATGCGTTATTTGTCATTAAAAAAATGTACAGGTGGGTTGATGCGTTATTTGTAATTAAAAAATGTCCAGGTGGGATGATGCGTTATTTGTCATTAAAAAATGTCCAGGTGGGATGATGCGTTATTTGTAATTAAAAAATGTCCAGGTGGGATGATGCGTTATTTGTAATTAAAAAATGTCCTGGTGGGATGATGCGTTATTTGTCATTAAAAAAATGTCCAGGTGGGTTGATGCGTTATTTGTAATTAAAAAATGTCCAGGTGGGATGATGCGTTATTTGTCATTAAAAAATGTCCAGGTGGGATGATGCGTTATTTGTCATTAAAAAAATGTCCAGGTGGGTTGATGCGTTATTTGTCATTAAAAAAATGTACAGGTGGGTTGATGCGTTATTTGTCATTAGAAAATGTCCAGGTGGGGTGTTGCTCTGACCACACAAGGCAACGTTATCATTCACATCTAAAGGGAAAAAAAATTGAAAAAAATTAACACTGACATGTAGTGCCATCCGCGTGGTAAACAACACACTAACATTTAAGCTATCCAGTCTAGTATGATCAGTGACGAATTTACTTATATATTTTACTTTTATTCTTTGTAAGAAACTTCATTTACGCGAATAGGCCTTAGTGCCTAGTATTATTTCAAATTATTTTTTTTTATCCCGAATTAGGGGTCGTCCATAAATGACGTCACCCTCGTAGGGGGAGGGGGTCCGTAATTTTGTGACGATGTGTGATGAAGGAGGGGGGGGGTAGAAAACGAGTTTCAACCATTATTTCGTGTTTTAGAAAACGATTTTAATAAATTGTAATAGAAATTGATCAAAAATACTCTATTTTGACAGAGTTCTGACAAGGTTTTGGGAAAATATAGATGTTTTAAGAAAAATTCAACTGCAATTTTGAGGGGGGGGGGTTGTAGGCTGAGGTGTGACGTTATTTAAGGGGGGGGGGGTCTGGTTTATGTGACGACGTGTGACTGAGGGAGGGGGGAGGTAAAAATCGTTTTAAAAAGCGTGACGTCATTTATGGATGACCCTTTAGCCAATTTCCTAGCTAAATAATCAAAGATTAATATAAAATAATTAAGGCCTGAAATAGTTGTTTAGTGTGGGTATATATATATATATATATATATATATATATATATATATATATATATATATATATATATATATATATATATATATATATATATATATATATATATATATATATATATATATATATATATATATATATATATATTCTAGATTCTAGATGTAGAATTTACGTTAAGTCTAGATCTAGATGTAGAGTTTTTGCTGTAACTCTAGATCTAGAACCTAGATAGATAAATCCCATGTATTCTCGAATTAGATGATCATTGAAGCTATAGAGCAAAGATTTATATCAAATATTTAAGAATTAACATAGTTTAATAAAGAAACTCAATAATTTATAGTGGTTTTATATTGGTTTTTATTTTGAACTAATTAATTTTGGTTTGACCTAGATTCTAGATTTTAGATCTAGAAATCTAGGAATGACTTTATCTGCGTCCGATAGTTGATCTCTTGATCTAGAGAAATTAATTGTATATTAAAATTAGAAGAGAAATTTAAAATTGATAATTGTGTTGGAACCTAATACCAATAGCAAACGGACGCATCGTTATAACTATAGCTTTATAATGCATTACACTTTTGAATGGGCAACAGAATCTTCGATGGAAACCGCCATTATTGTTATAATGGGTCGTGATGAAACATCCTTGATCTAATGGGTCGTGATGAAACATCCTTGATCTAATGGGTTGTATCTAGTGTGCTGTAATAAAACATCCTTGATCTAATGGGTCGTGATGAAACATCCTTGATTTAATGGGTTGTATATAGTGGGTCGTGATGAAACATCCTTGATCTAGTGTGCTGTAATGAAACATCCTTGATCAAATGGGTCGTGATGAAACATCTTTGACACAACAGAGGCAGCCTTGAGCGTATCAATAGATTTATATCCAATTTGCATATAGGTCGATCTTTATCGCTGTTTTAGCCATTGGTTTCACTCGGTATTTTAGCTCAGGTACCTTTTTAAAAAAAATATTTTAACACTTCAAGCTACAAGAGACATATATGTCCCAGAATTTTAAATTAACACAATGAAATTGAAAATTTGAATGTGTTTAAAATCATTCAAAGTGTCATAGACATAATAGAAAAAAGTCTGCATAATGTTAACCATTTGCTAAGGGGGTCATCCATAAATGACGTCACGCTTTTTTTTTGACGATTTTTACCCCCCCCCCCCCCCCTCCCCTCCATCACACGTCGTCACAAAAAGCCAGACACCCCCCCCCCCCTAAAATGCCGTCACACCAGCCTACAATAACCCTCAAAATTGCAGTTGAATTTTTTTTTAAACATCGATATTTTTCCAAAATCTTGTCTGAAATATTTCAAAATAGAGTATTTTAATCAATTCCTATTACAATTTATTAAAAGTTTTCTAAAACGCAAAATAACGTCTAAAATTCGTTTTCCAAAATTGCATTTTGATAATGCAAAAGTGTGACGTCGCACCATCTGAACCGCCCCCCCCCCCTCCTCTCCCCCATCACAAAATTACGGACCCCCTCTCCCCCCTACGAGTGTGACGTCATTTATGGACGACCCCCAATGTATTAAGTTGAACCGTTGTGTTTCTGTGTTGTTTCTGTATTATTCCTCATGGATGGCCAGATGTCATCTGTACGTCTGGTGCCTGTGTTGGCGCACATAGTACCAGAGGCGCAGCGACCAGTCCCGTCGAACATGTGATTCTAAAAATTAACCTACAAATTAACTACTATTCTTCATTATCACGTTTCGTTACATAAATACAATAAACATCCGAGTCAAACCATTAAACAAAAAACCGCTTGTTGCTTACTTTCACTCTCCTGGTAGGCTGTCCTATATTATATAATATTACTATTCCGTACTAGGTTTATTTGGTGCGCAATAGTTTTTAGTCACGAAACTCTATTGTAATAAAAAAAAAACTCTAAGTACAAAAAAATGCATAAAAAACGTTTTAATTTTTATAACACTAAAAAAGGAGAATAGAAATGATTTTCTTTAAACTGATAACAATACACTACAATTTAAATAATTATAAAGAAAAGCGTGGGTCACTATATCCTATACCAGTGGTTCCCAAACTTTTTAGAGTGGCGACCCCCTTTTATAAAAAAGTAAGTGACCTGAATCCCCATAGAATTAAAAAGCCGAAATTAGTATGAAAATTAATAAGCACTAAAATAAGGATTTAAGTAGACTTTCAATATGAACTACTGATGATAACTGTTTTAATACCATGAGTAAAATTGATTGCTATTTACTAAACATTAGCGGTTACTGTAATATAGTGAGACTTGTGAAGCCAAGTGAACTCACTCTTCTTGTATTAGTATTATATTTATACTGTTATCTTGAGTGATGTCCCTTACATGTATATATATCTTTGTCTCTCGTCACTTCCGCTCTCTCTCGTTCCATCATGTAGTTGAGGCCAATAAACGTTTTATATACAATCACATGCTTCTATCGTCAATCCATTACATCTGGCGACGAGGATAAATAATCCACTAGAAAGAGCATATGCTTACTTAAAAAGGAGCTTGCTAGAGCATATTGGCTAAGTATTTCTAGAATAATGGCGCTGTATGGCCAAATAAAAGAATTTGATTCGAATGATGAAACCATTCATGATTATCTAGATAGGTTAAGCTTTTACCTTGAAGCTAGCGACGTGATGATAGAAGCCAAAAAGAGAGCTGTTTTGTTAACAGTCATAGGGCCTCAACAATTTAGGCTACTAAAGGACTTATGCGCACCAGCTAGTCCAGATACCAAGAGCTTTAACGAGCTGAGCAAATTGCTAACAGACCACCATGCGCCTGCCCCATCAAAGTTTCTATGTAGAGCTAGATTTGACGGTAGGACTCGTCAACCAAACGAGTCAATATCAGAATATGTTGCTGCTTTACGTCATCTAAGTAAATTTTGTGAATTCGGCGATACGCTGTCTGACAGACTATGTGAAAAGTTTGTGACAGGTGTAAACAGCCCTGATGTTCAAAGAAAGTTGCTT